TTTATACCTTTGTACATGTCTGTACGTTATTTTCGATTCTATTAGTTTCTATTTCAATTATTTTATTTTTAAGATACTCCCTTTTTTTATTTTTGAGCAATTTTGTCGTTTCGTTCTTTGAGATTCGGAAGTATTCCAGATTGTCTTCGCTAGGATTATTTAGAGCTTTTAATTTAGCGGCTTTCCTTTTTTCGCACATGTTTAAGCAATCTTCATCAAACCACGGTTTGCTATTCTTATATTCCTTTTTTCCTAGACACGAGTTACCGACCGCTTTAATATTATCCCTGATCTCTACCCATAACTTGTCAATATCGTCGTGGTCCTCGTCAGGAAGCTCTAAAGCTTCAAACCTATTCTTAACATCTAGCTCGAATTGGTTTCTAATTGATGGATTTTTTAATTTTTCCAAATTAAAATTCTCAAAATCGAAACGGTTTTCTTTTCTCTTTTTTATATTAAGTTTTTGTCGAAGTTTCGCGATTACTAATTCATGATCCGACCCACATTCTGCTCCGCGATAAGACCGTACATTGATTATACTGCTTTGCCAGCTGTGTTGTATCAAGACATGATCGATTTGATTTCGTGTTTGCGAATCCGGCGATGTCCAAGTATATTTATGAATATCCTTACGTTTAAACGTCGTACTTTTAATTACCAGGTTTTTCGAGATGGCAAAGTTTATCAGACGGATCCCATTATCATTACTATATTCGTGCAAACTTTCTTTACCAATCGTCTGAATATAAACTTCTTCTCTTCCTACCTTTGCGTTCGCGTCACCTACAATTATTTTCATGTAGTTTCGCGGTAGTTTATCATAAACCCATTCGAGTTTATCGTAAAATTCACTTTTGACTTCATCGTCACTGTCTTCGGTCGGACAATGTATGTTTATTAATGCGATTTTAAACCAACGTCCCTGAAATGTAGCTACCGAAATTCTATCACTAAAGAATTGTACGTCCCTCAAAGCGGATAGTAATCTACTCCTAATTAGAAACCCGGTACCTAAACAATGATTCCCGCTTCCTCCGTACCAAATAGTGTACTTTCCTTCCATCATCGAGCCCTCCCCTGGCCAGCGAACCTCTTGCAGAGCCACGACATCCAAATTGTACCCATTTACCTCATTCGCGACCGATTTTAGCCCCCCTGCTGTGTTTAAACTCCTTACGTTCCACGTACCAATATTTAAATCCCTATATTTCAACTTGCGGCATGAATCCCCTAAAGCAGTCCCCACCCGGAGACCCGAACGGGGGACTAGTTTACCTCCGGATAATGAGCGTTTTACCTTAGGGAGATCCATGACTTTTTGTGGTGTTTGGTGAACTAAAGATATGTGAGTAGGGCGTTCAATCCTACGTCACACCCTCCAGCAAGTCTGGTGGGCCCCTACCTCCAGCAAGTCTGGAGGTCCCCTCCCTCCAGCAAGTCTGGAGGGCCCCTCTCATTGTTGGTCAGCGAGTCCATCGGACTTAGCCGGGAGGAACTTCCAAGGAATTTCCACCGACCATCCCCACATCCGCCACCCGTGGGACGCTCCCCATACGCGGTAATGAGCCCGCGCGAGGTCTCAATAATAATATTAACTTATAAAATGTGGCTGAGTGTTAGTTGATAAGTTTTTACGTACACCAGTCTGTAACCTATATTTTGAATCTAGTCGTCTAGCAACATGTTAAATTAGCAAATAAGTGAAACTAAATTGCCCGTTCTATACCGTTCAAAAGCAGCGATAATAATAGTGTTTCAGGTAGGAAAACTCTTGATTTAGAGCCAAAAATTAACTGAGGCAATGCAAGCAAGAAACAGTAGTTTTAGCGACGAAAAGAAATACTTGAGTATTTAAATTAAAAATTTGATTTCAGAACAATTAGTCAATTTTTTATAAGACAAATTAGCTACTCCAAGACATACCTTTGTTGACCGTTATTAATAAACGAAAGATGTTTAGCCCTGGAGAAGGTGATAGGATCAACATCACATGAAAATGGAAGGGTCCACGTTAGCATGAACCATAAAATCTTTATAGATGAAGATGGTATAGCTGTACTTGGAAAAAATCTAGAGGACATTGAATGACTCGCTTCTTGACTCGGTCAAGAAGATTCTTGAAAACGCGGAATGTTTGGATGGGCAATTATTCTAGTAGTAGTTATCGAACTTCAGTAATATATATATATTTTAAATATATATATATATATATTTTATTTAAATATATATATATTTTATTTTTTCGGTTGGCTCTACAGACCTTTGTCCGCCTGAACCAGCCTTCTCCACCTCTGCCTATCTTGGGCTACAGCTTTCCAGTTTGTGGCATGAAGCTGAGCCTTATCTTTGTTTATCCTATCTATCCATCTGATTTTCGGCCTCCCACGTGGCCTCTTGCCTACTACTCTGGCCTTATTTTTAGTTTTCTGGAGATTTTTCTGGATTTAATTACCGTTGAAAGAGAGAAGAAACATCTGTTCGCACTTGTTATTAGCTCGTCTGTCTCTGTTAGTTGATCATTTATTGAGGTTATTGTGGAGCCGAGGTGTTTGAATCTGTCTACTTTCGGGAATGACTTAGAGTCCACGCAGATTGTGTTATTAGGGGGGATGTTTCTGCTAACTATCATGTAAACAAAATTGTTTTAACTACATTGACTAGTAGTCCAATTTGCTCTGCTTCTTTTAACAGAGTCCGAGCGAGTCTCTCAATATCCTATTGATTACTTCCGAGGACAGCTATATCATCGGCATATGCTAGGATTTTGTATTTCATTCCAATGTGCACCCCTCCATCTTCGCGTGATGTTATTCTTATAACTTTCACTAGCGCTAAGTGGAACAGCATCAGCGAGAGTCCATATCCCTGCCTCAAACCCGTTGGAACTTCAAAGGCTTCAGATACTTCTCCTTGTATTAGTACTATGCATTTAGGATCATTTGTACACGCCTTCGTCAACTTCACTAACTTTCCGGGAACACCCAGCTCAGTCATGATCTTCCAGAGACAGTTTCTGCCCACTGAATCATAGGCTGCTTTGAAGTCGACAAATAATGCGTGTACGTCCTGATCTACTTCCCATCGTTTTTCAAGTACTTGTTTTAGGATGAATATTTGATCTAGCGTACTCCTTCCTCTCCTGAATCCTGTTTGATGGTCGCCTATTATGTTTTCATAATACGGCTATATCCGATTTAACAGAATATTAGTCATTATTTTATAGGCGACCGGAAGAATTGCTATGCCTCTGTAATTGCCACATTCATACATGGAGCCCTTCTTAAGGATAGGACAGATGAACCCTGTGTTCCATGCTTCTGGTATCCGTTCCTTCTCCCACCTCTTCTGGATTAGATCTAACAGCTTGGCACTGAGGTCTTCTCCCCCCTCCTTGAACAATTCTGATGGTAAGTTGTCTATCCCAAGAGCCTTTCTTCTTTCAAGCCTGCCGATAGCTATTTCCACCGATAGCTATTATTCTCAAGTGGGTCGATGTCAGTGTGGTCCATGTCTTGTTCGTTTGTGGTGCTCTTGATTAAGCAGCTGCTGGAAGTGTCCCTTCCTTCCAGTGCTGATAAATGGAAAAAAATAGCCCAAGACAGGCAGAGATGGAGCAGGCTTGTTAAGGCAGCAAAAGATCTACATTTCTGTAATCAAAACAGGAATAAAAAAAAAAATATATATATATATACAGATATACTATTTTTTAAATTTTACCATAATTTTTTTAATTATTAAAATTTATTAAGTTAGAATTTTTATTAAGTTAGCCTATTTTTTTTGTTTTTAACATAAAAAATCAATGCTTTATCTTTTCTCCAGTTTTTTTTTTTTCTCTCTCTCTATACAAATAATATATATTTTTTGTTTTTGTTTCTCACATTACAACTACTATTCATATAATTGCTACTCTGGAGAGGATTTTATTTAATTTTTTTTTTGTTGTTTACATATTATTATTTGAATTACTGTATATATTGTTATATTCATAGATTTTTTTTTGGCTAGATATGATTTTTTTAAAATTTGTTCACCATTGTTATTCTGAGTGGACCTTGTCAGAGAATAAAGTTTATTTTTCTACTCTTTTCTCTCTCTCTCTCTCTCTCTCTCTCTCTCTATATATATATATATATATATATATATATATATATATATATATATATATATATATATATATATATGTGTGTGTGTGTGTGTGTGTGTAATGCAAAGTAACAATAGGACTAAAGTCCATTCATTTGGTCTGGTAACATGGCAATGTGGTATCAGTTCTAGGGCCAGTACTCCTTAAATAGATATAAGTAAGTAAAATTTTAAATGAATTTACTTTCAAGATATCTTTAATAAAGTATAAATATAATTTCTTTATCTTTATTATTAATATATTAAATAAGTAAAAACAAGAATTTTGTAAATAATGGTATAGAGGTTATTGTTCATGATTACAGTAATGTTCTGAAGATGGGGAGTGCTCCTCGAAACGTTAACAAATTATTTTTTAATAACCAAATATGGAGCAGTTAATGGATGCTGTCTATTATATAAACAAGAAACTAATACAAAAAGAAAAAAAGGAAGATGCAGAATCATTGTTGAAATCGTTAAATTATTAAAAAACAAAATAAGAAAAGGATTAATTAATGGAGGTCTTATTTGCTCGATATTTTAGTATTTATTTTGTTTTTTTCAAAAATTCTACTTTATTTTTTATTATAAAGCAGTATGAATAGAGTTGATTTATTTTTTATGAGGTTCAGGATATGAGTTGGTATGAAAGTGTTATTATCACTGTTAGTTCTGTTAATATTTCAGATCATATAAATTTTTTCTTTCTACATTTACAACGATAGTATAATCATAACGTTTCAGTTTTTCAAAAATGAAATTAACAAAATATATATTAAAGATAACGTAACTTTAAAAAGAAATAGCAGCAGAATACGCACTAAAGACAAAAATGAGGATAGTAAATTTTTATATTGTTATACTTTCAGGTTATGAAGAAATTTATATTCGTACTACTCTCACTAGCAGCGTTCGCGCATGCTGAGAACATCGTTATAGAAAATGACATCGAGTTGGAATCATATAAGAACGAGTAAGCAGTTAATTAAATTATAATGATAATTATTATTTATTAATTTTTAAACTTTGTATTTTTGTCTATTTATTATATATAATATTAATATTTTGAATTTCGTCAACTATGTTCGAATATCAAGTCAATTTTCATAACTAATTAATTTTATTATATTGGTCTTTATGAAATAATTGCTTTTTAGATTGACCTCGGTACAAAGAGAATTAATTATATGACAGTATATAACGTTGCATTAATTTGAAATGAATATTAATTTTTAGGAAAGTTGATTGTAAATTGTTTTTAGGATTTTCTTCCATGGGACATTATTGATTCCTGTAAAATCAATAAAAGTTGCAATGAATTTACATATTTATTTTATTTAATTTATTTTTTTTATAAAGAGAGTTTAATTTTTTTCACACTGATATTTACGAAACTACCGTGTTAAGAGGATATTTCTCGAAGTATCTCTGTTATTTGTGTCGATTTTGACTACTATAACAGTTTATAAACTTATTTAAAGAGATATTAAAATATTTTTATGAAAAAAGATTTTTATCATGTATTACTTAAAAATCTTGACGTAATATAATGTTATTATTATATATTCATATTATTACAGCAGTGTCGTAAAAAAAATCAGAATACTATTTTGTGCCTTATCAAATGTCCCATTGATCTTATTCAATTGATTGCTCTCAAAAAGCTAATGAATTCCGCAAAACCAAAATGTGGATATGCTTAGTACATCTATTCTTTATATAGAACTAAACAGTATGTATATGTTAAAACTCTAATAAAATATTAATTAAGAGTTTGTATGCTGTTTGAGTACTGAAAATCCGAGTTTTAAATCATATTCGATATTTTCCATTAAGTAACTATAAAAGTTTAAAAAAAGAATATTTAAAAAAAATATTACTTTATTTAAAATGTTTACTGCTTATACTTATTATTTTGAATAATCATTAATAAGATACTTATTATTATACATTTAAAAACAGATTTTTTTTTTAGTGATTATACATAATTGGGGCTTTTCGGTCACATGGATAATTTTCGTCCTAAATTATAGTTATTAAATTAACAATAATAATTCCGTAAAAGCACCATAAAATTAAAAACAAAACCACAAATGACAAATATACTTTTATAGTTAACTATAAAAAATTAAAAGGACGAATTTATAAGTTTTACGATTAATAGCAATTATAAACTAATCAAGTTACAATATTTTTAATAATAAAAATAGCTACAAATACAGGTGAAATAAAAATTAGAAATCAATTGTTAAAAATACGAATAAAGTTACAAATTCATTAAGATTACAATTTTCTTTTGATTTATACAAGTGTTAAGCAATAAGTATTTAATTTAATAAACAATATCTATGCCAATTTTTTTTTTTCAGCATAATTAATTGAGATGCTCTTGCGCGACCAAAAATCGGTTGATGAATTGGTTTTAGACAACTACAAAAAACAAAAAGTAAACTAACTCATTTTGATGAAATTGACAGTTATATATTTGGACGAATTTTCAATTTTTATTCGTCGATGATGATTATGTCATAACAGTAAAATAAATAAATAAGTAATATAATAATTAATCTTAGAATTTCTTTATTCACAATGATAATTAGTGTTATAGAAAAGTGGTAAGGGTTGGAGCTACGTGGAGACACTGACCGACATTGTATGTGTGTATATGTAAATGTTCGTGTGTGTGTTTATGTACAATTTATATATAAAATTAATTAATAAACAAATTAAAAGTATAAAATGGCATTGATGACCAGTGCAGTTTTACGCCATCAAACAAAAACAAACAAACGGTACATCATGCTCTGCCAGCATTTAGCTCAGAATCTTGATTATTTTTTACTTTTTACTTAGATTGGTGTTTTCAGCATCCAATCTTCCATCCAAGAAAAAAATTTCGGTTTTCTATCTATATTGAGTTTAAAATATATTTTATTAGTTTTTATAAATGAATATTTGTGAATTAAAGTCGAAAGAATTTTAAGAATATATTTTTTGGCAGGAGTATACGTCACACTTCAGTTTTTATCCTTCAAAGAAATAAATTCTTTACGATTAAATAGGTAGACTGTGTAATAATAATGAAAGTAAGAAAAACCACCCTTCTTTTTACAGTCTCATGTATTTATGTGAAGTATGTGCAAATATGGGCAGATTCTTGAGTGAAAATTAACAAATTTAATGTATAACTTTTCTAATTTATTGCATAGTTATATATGTATATTTTCTGATTGTTGTATATTTATATATGTGTATGTATATATATTCTGATTTAAAAATATTTTTTAGATGAATATGGTATTATTATTATTTGAAATATAAATATGAACCTTATAAAAACTAAGAATTATCATATGATTTCCAATTTATTTTTAAGCATCACATCAAATTGATTATAACATTACATTAATTATTTCATGATTTTTTATTTATTTGTTTTTAAGAAAATTAATTTCTTATACAGTACTCGCTAATAAAGAATAACTTTTTAAAAATTAATTATTCTTTAATTGTCATTAGAAATAAAGTAACCTAAAGTTTAAATAGGTATGACTGTGTTTAATTTACTTACCTTTAGGTTATTTTATTTTTTATTGTACATAGTTTTTGATTATTATTTAGTTATTATTTTACTTTTTTTAATTTTATTTTTTGTGTATATATGATGTGAACGTGTTCATATCTCACTATAATTGTTTACGTAGCAGATTATTATATTTTTCAATAAAAAAAAAATAGTTTAAATATGGTGCCTACTTTTTTGTTAAAAAAGTAATGTTTATAACAATGCCTAATTTGAGCATGGAATTTAACATTAACAAACTTCGCTGAATATTTTTTGTAGGATATGGACTTGGAAATGTAACGACAAAGGCTGCGAAAAAGAAGCTTTGGCTGACGGCGGGCGTCCGATAAGCGTCGAAGTGTGCCGAGTCGCCTGCCCAACTTCAGGGGTCCTCTGGCCTAAGCCGATCAAGAGCACCATCTCCACCACCTTGGTCAAGCTAGATCCCTATGGCCTGTCCATAGCCAACTTAGAAGGAATTGGAGGTAAATATAAATACTCTATTCACAGTTGTGTGAAAACCTTTATATGGAATGTGAACATGTTAGATATCATAAGACAGTAATTTATAATCTGTAGTATCAAACATAGTTTGACTCTGGTTTAGCTATACCCACCTGGGCCAATTTCTAATCTCAATAGAACTGGGCCTTTCACTGATTTGGAGCTAAATTTGTTTGAGTAGAAATTTCAGTCACAATTTCTTTAATGAGTTAGACGACGTTTTGACCCAAACATGTGGGTCACATCATCAGGGCTAAAAAGTAATTGTTTGTATCATTCTTCATAGAAAAATATTATACATACCTTCACGCGTTGGTTCCAGAGCCTTAGGAACACTGAAAAGAAAACAAAAATTATTTCAATAATATTTTCTGATATATTCTTTTTTCCATTGCTTTGCTCGGATTTCTAGGTTATGTGCCAGTCGATTCGTTTTTTTCTTTTCTTTTAGTACTCCGTATTCTTGCTTTTTACCGGCCATTAAAAAAAAAATACATAAATTCTCAGGATTTTTTTCAAGTAAAACATTTATGTAGCCGTTGGAAAGAGGAATTAGTGATCTTCCAGGAAATCCAGATTCTATTCCTTTATGAGGTAGAAATAAATATAAACTTCGCAATATTTTTTGCGAACTTGGAGGCCGCTGGTTTGGGTCTCGCCGAACGATCTCGGAAAGAACAAGAAGCTTCCTCGATGAACTAGGTGTTGATGTTGGGGAGCTGCCGATATCGGCCGAGAATATTATTTTGGACTCCCTTGAGACCATCCACTATCATCTATATAGTGATTGAGGAGGTCTTGTATTAATTATTTATTAAATTTTAAATTTGTCTATAATCGTCTTATCCTTTGTCTACATTGGACGAATTACTGTGGGATATATGTGTGCGATGTTGCATTGAGTTCCTGGCATTTGAAAATTTAAATTTAAATTTTCTTTCTCTTCCTCCTTAGTGCCTTTAAGCGTGGAGGTGCTCCTGACCAGGAAAACCAAGCTTCTCGGCCCCGAGCCAGCACTCTCACAGCTTCCCAGCTTTTTCTTCTTCTCTCTCCTACTTTCGAGATGTAGTCTTTCCAATGTATTCTGGGTCTTCCTCTTGGGCGTTTCCCTGTTGGTCTGACCTCAAAATATTTTCTTGGGTCGTCACTAATTCGACAGAGATGTCCAACCCATCTGACATGTATCTTTTCATTGGCATCATTTAAAGGGATTACTACTCCAACATCCTCTTTTGTCCTCTCATTCAGTATACGATGCCTAGTTGGGCCTGCCACCCTCCGAAGGTATCTCATTTCCATTGCAGGAACTCGGCTTAGGTGCTTATCTAGTGGCACCCAGCTTTCACTTCCTGGGCTGCTACATAGCCTTCAATATGTGCACTTTAACATTCTTCTCTACCTCTTTCTTCCTTATGTCTGGTTGCAGAGTTGGTAGTATATGGAATTTGTCTTCTTTATCCTATTAGATATTTCTTAGTCTACCTTTCCATATCTGCTGATCACTTTCCCGAGGTAAGTGTATTCTTCCACTATTTCTAGTGGTTCACCTTTTCAAATTATTTCAACGTATTCCTATTTCCGGCGTATATGCCTATAGACAAGACGCTATGGGCTTTAAATACCTGATGATTGTCGTGTGGATCAGTGGAGCCGTTTTAAAGTTATAATTTTTGTGGCTGTTAAAAACATTTCGAAGGGTTAGGGGTGGGTTAAAACCTAGGCTAAAATTTTGTGTAAAGAACAATTTACTTTTTATTGTTGTAAAAATTCTTATTTAAGGATTTTTTGAGATGTAAAAATGAATATCATCTTTGATTTTCCAAAAAAAAAAAAAAAAAAAAATCTGTACTCCCACTTTACTATGTAGGTTAGTTGAATTTGTTTTAATATTGTATTCTTACTTATTGTACTCTAATATAATAGTTTTTCTAAACAGGCCTGGTATTTATAGTAAAGATTTTTTGGCAGATATTGATAAGGCGATTAAGACGTTAATGAAGTTATATGTATCTGTCTGGAATCATATTGTTTGTGACATAGTAAGGGTCTTCGAAGAATTAGTCACTTAGTTCAAACCTAAAGTTCATTGATATGTTCTAATAGTATCTCTGCTACATTTAAATCACTTTTAGAAAAAATGTCTCGTTTAATAAACTTTATGTCAATATCAATTAAATTGAGGATAATTAGTAAAATGTTCTCAAAGTACTTTAAGTACCCATGTTTTCCGTTCATGTTCATGTTAATTGTTGCAAAGCTTTTGTTGTTGTTTTTCTGTGATATAGGATGTATTGCAATAAACATGATAACACCAATAACCCTAAAAACACATTTTATTCATAAATAGAAAAAAATAATGATTCATAGAAGATGGTTATGGAATTCGGTTTTTCTCCCAGATTCATGTCGTAGGAATTGATACGTATAAATGACAATCTTAATATTTCTTTGCCCTAATATTTACGATTTACTGAAAATAATTGAAGCAATCAGTATGTTTCTGTATTTAAAATATAAATTTTAGTAAAAATCATTAAGTATGTCACTGTTAAATATATATCAATACTTACAACGGAGATCTAGGAGAAAGTTTCATAACCGCTTTATTTGAAAAATATTTAAAAAATCATTTTTTTTTTTTAAATTATAAATAAAATGTGTTTTTAGGAAATTATGTTTACGAAAAAAATACGAAAAAAAAAAGAAATAAAAGCTTTGCAACAGATAATTTTTGCTGAAAACACGGGTACTTTAAGGTGACTGGATAGGAAATCACATCAATTCTTTACATAACTTGAGGTGAATATCAAAATACATCCTAATAAACCTCTACTTAATTAATATGTGCTTAAACCTAATTAAACGAGAAAGGTTTTCTAAAAGTGGGGATAAATTTAGTACAGTTAAAGGGTGATAAAAAAATCACAAATAATTTATAATCTTTTTTTAAAAGGAATTTAGCTATGTTTGTCAACCCAATAGTCCATTTTAAATAGTTTTAAATTGACAAACTCTACTTTCCTGTAAATTAAACTTTGTTTAGTTTACTGCGGAGAAATGTTTAGTTACTTAAATCAGATGTTTTTAAGCTATCGCTTACTATTCAACAAAAACCATGACTCGCTTACAAAAACTCAAATATTAAATTTCCTACTTTTATACTAGAAATGAGGTTATATTGCTCATATGAATTTTTTTGAAGACCTTGATGTCTACCATCAAACTTTTAAATATTTCTCTTTACTTACGGAAAACCCGATATACATTTAAGTTAGTTCTTTACGGTTTTAGTGAAATACTTGTTACCTTTATTTTATTTTAAACAATTTTTAGGTGGCAAAGAAGCATCTGAAATGATCCAAGGTGCTTTTGAGCTGTTCACTGAGAGGATCAGGAATCTTGACAAAATTGGAAGTGCTTCAGGACAAGGATTTGACATATACTTTAACGTTAAGCATCCAGAGAATTTTAGATATGTACAAGGAGTCAACGAATCATACCATCTAACCGTGAACCCTGGTCAACACGGACGTGTAATGTATTTTTTGATTAATTTTATTTTATCAAGACAAACGCATTTCACACTTACCAAACGATTTTTCACAGTTGAACGCAACAATCTGTAGTGAGACACTCCTGGGATCCAGGCACGCTCTCGAAACCTTGGGTCAGTTGATTGTTCGTGACTCTTTCAGTGGTTCCATTCTGACTCCATCTTCGGTGGAGATCTTCGATGGTCCATCCTACACGCACAGGGGTCTCACTTTGGACACAGCCAGGAACTTCATCAGCGTCCCTGCTATCAAACGTACTTTGGATGCGATGGCAGCTTCCAAGCTGAATACATTTCACTGGCATATCACTGACTCGCATAGCTTCCCATTTGAATCTCGAACATTCCCAAACCTCACCAAATATGGAGCTTATTCTAAAAATAAAGTAAGTATGAAGGATAATTGTAATCTGTACACATTAAGGTGTGGGTGTGGTTATCGAATTGTTTATTGACACAAAAAAACACATATATCTTACATATTTCCTTTTTCAATCATTAGTTTAGTTCCACTCCTCCAAATAATTAGGGTGTAACAGCAACTGTTCCAAAACCTTTTAAAAACATTTGAATTGAAGTCATAGCAATGATCAGCTACTTCATTAGAGTTCAAAGCTCTATTGAATTTTGTGCTCTCAGGTTCTATATACTGGGTTCAGTTCCAGTGACATGTTAGGGAAGGAATCACTGGGTTCTAACCTTGCTTTCTTCAAGATATGTAGAAGGTTAAATAATTATGAATCTGTTAGGATATTAGAAGATTCCGAAACCTAAGCCTTAAGTCATTCAAACACTAATTATTTAAAGTACTGCCAATTCAGGCATCAAATGGAAAAAGATAAAAGCAAATAAATTTAAAATCCCGTACGTTCCCCACTCAAAACTTTTGATGGCGTAACTTGCGCCATGAAACTCCTTTCTGGGCATCTCTGCATTCAGTTAATGTCAACTATTTTTTCAATTATCTTCTCTTATTGCCTTTTAACCTACTTAAAAACTGAAGTATTGGATCGACCTCTGTTTTGGAATAACCATATTAATCACATCACTTGAAAATTTATTGTTATATTCAAGTAGTTCCTGTGAATATGTAGTTCTATGCCTCTAAAGAGTCATCAGTTCCTTGCTTCCATACTTATTTTCCCCTCACTTACTATAGTTCCTGGTATGTAATCGACTGCCTTATTAGCTTGCGATGAGACTGATACAGGACTGGAACTAGAATGTTTCCCAGTAAGGGCAAGGTGAATTTTCTCTTCTCTTGTTTCGTCTAACGTCCCCCTCCCTAATGAATACAACATTTCATAGCAATATTTTAGGTACTGTAGGGATTCTAGCGTAGGGATATGGCGACACCATTGCCCAGTCATCTAACTGCAATCAGCCACTAGGCATTGGGGGAAACCCAGTGCCGGGGGGGGGGGGAGGGTATAGCCCGGCCATCCTTCCTCCTCAGGGGACATACATATTCAGGATGCCAGTTGTTTCGAGGATACGTGGCCTCTCTTACTTGGCCAATCACCCGTAGTACAGTTTAACTGATTCCAGGCACATCAAATGGCCTCGGATTCGGACAGTCTGAACGGTTACTACACGGCACTCGAAAGGATATTAGACTTGGAACGTGGAATATCTTGACATTAACTGGCAACTAGGTTGAGCTGGTGGAGCAGATGGAAACAATACGAACGGTCGTGGGAAGGTGGAACAGGAGGACAATTCTAGCTCAAGTGATGGTTTTCGCAGATGATATTGCCGATTCCAAAGAAAATCTACAGCAGGCAGTTACTGAGTGGGAGGCTGATCTGTAGAGAAAGGGCATGATAGTAAATATTGGAAAGAACAACCTGATCCACATTGGTAGTGAAGCAGAGGAAGCTTTGGTTCGCTGTGGAGGAGAAACCTTGGAGACAGCGCAGAAGTACACTTATCTCGGAGTAGTGCTCAGCAGAAACCGGAAAAAAAGACCTGAAACTCTCAAACAGGATTAAGAAACTAACAGCATATACTACCAGCTATGCAGCACAGTGGTGGAAAAAAAGGAATTACGAAAATTACATATGTTTAAGTCCATGTACTTAGATACCCTTATTTGCGGATGTGAGAGCTGGGTCCCACTGGAAAGGCCCTGGAGTAGAGCTAGTACTGCAGAAATGAAGTACCTCTGGAGAATAGCAGGAAAGGAGGGACAGAGTTAAGGACGATGATAAAGAAGAAGATATCTCCCATAATATTATCATCATAATATTATGGCACTGTGTTATTACTTTAATCCAATCAATGAGCAAAGTAATAACACAAATATTTTTTTACTTTGTCGAGATTGGTATAATTAATGTTGTGACCAAAAGGCCTCGGAAGGAAAGAACGTGTTCTAATTAGGGTGTAATAACTTAGTGGGTGAAGGAAGAGTCTATGATAGGATGATCTCAAGTGTCAGGGGGAAAGTTTTGAAGACTGCCTGCGGTCTTCAATCTGCCATGACTAACTAGGCTAGCAAGAGCTGTTACAGTTACTGGTATTTAAAAGATTTGATCAGTATACTTTATAGACATTAAACTATATTATTAAAAAGTATTCGCAATTAATATACATATTTACAATTTTTCTACAATATAATACTGAGAAATAATAATACATCTTTTAGGTACATTGAGTGAGCGCGCACGTGTGGAGTTACCAGGTAGCGGGCAGGTGAACTATGCAACTTAAACTGAAAAAAAATGATGTCCTGAACTTTGCCACTCCTTAATTCCGCCCTTGGACTAATCATTTGCTTTCTTTATTAGAATCATCGTCGAGGTTCCCAGATGCTATTATCTCCATTTGTTTTGGTGGATATAAGTTAAGTTATGGATAAGAGTTAAGGTGGATCTTTTTTTCTGATGAAAATAATTAGGATATATATATATATATATATATATATATATATATATATATATATATATATATCCCCACTCCTATATGGTAAAGTAGCCTCACTATATTTTTTATCTGCAAAATTCGTTTTTTCTGTCCACTCTTAAAATACGAGATCCCAGCCAAACAAGTTTTACACTCCTTTCATAGAACTGGTTTCTAAAGGGAATTTATTCTTCAATAATGGAAAATACCCTTCAAATCAGCATCAAGGTTATTATACCACTTCAAGAACGTTTCAGTACTTTTCACCATATCCATCTAAAACTTTAATATACATATACAATAATACATCATATATTTACAATTCATAATTATCACGAAGATTTCGCACAATCTACATACCTGTTCCATCCACTTGGGTGTCGTTTGCATATCGGAATAGTTTTCCATTTCTAATCATTAATTTGTCGTACTGTTTTTTTTTCTAAATCAATCTGTTTTAAAATATAAAAGAAAAAAAAGGGGTATAGTGCACTCAACAATATATGGTACAATGCATTGAAAGCTCCTTAAAGTGATGTAATAAACTAATATTTTCTAGCATTTGGTAAATCAAAAAGATATTTTTCTGACTAATTAAAAATTTTTTTAACTAAAATTAGATAATCAATTATTTCATTTACTTTGATTATAGTTTTCTCTAGATTGTATATAGAACGTCTATGCGACCTGTCCCAGAATAAAAGTTAGCTCTATTCATATATAATCATCGACTACATTAATCGTTTATATCTTTACTCAAAGTTAAGGAAGTCATAATCTCCTAAGGTATTTTTGAAATATAATTTCTTTTCGGATCTAATAAGCAATATAATTTTTCAGATCTACACCGAAAAAGACATACAAGATATCATCAGGTTCGCAACCGTGAGAGGCATCCGGATAGTTCCCGAGTTCGACGCACCCGCCCACGTCGGCGAGGGGTGGCAATGGGTTGAGGACGCCGTTGTCTGTCTTGCGGCCGAGCCATGGCAGACTTACTGCGTCGAACCTCCCTGCGGCCAGTTGGATCCCACCAGCGAAAACACTTACAAAATCCTCGATGGCATTTACTCCGATTTGACCAGGCTGTTCAAGAGCGATCAATTCCACATGGGAGGTGACGAGGTCAACATCAAGTGCTGGGAGTCGGTCGATCGCATTACTCGCAATATGAAGAAAATGTAAGTGCATTTAAATAATTTCTTGTCATGTAAATTCGCTTAACAAGTATGTAACATGCAGATACGGGGTCAAGAAAATCTGCAAATATTGAAAAAAACACGAAAAGTTAGTACAGCTTAATAAGCAATGTTGTTGGGTGTTAAATTTCCATCTAGATATTCGTAATTACTCCCATTTTGATAAAAAACATTATCGGTTAAAGTGGGTTGGAAACTAAAATCATCGCGTTTCAATCGAATTAGTATTCTTGAATATCATCTTTAATCCACAGTGTATGTAAAATATACACCAAGTTCATGGGAATTTTGTAAATGGATTTGTAATAAGCATATTTTAATAAAACTTATTCACACTAGTTCACTAGTACAGCTAACAGCTGTAGTTTTTTTTTGTATTCTAAGGCTTCAACTCATAACGTATAAAAGATCACAGACACTGTGCAGAGGTCGGCAAACTTTTTCTTCAAAAATACCAACTATCAATATTACAACGATTGAAATTTGGTTTGAAAACCACAATTTTTTTAAAAGTCAAATCTTATAGACCCCTGTCTTGTTAGAATAATTCAACTCGGAGTTAGAATTTCGATTTTTAGGTAAAAACCCATTTTTTCATATTTTGCGAAAAATCAAAGTATGGATCTATAGCGCCCAAATTTCATATAATGGTTTTTATAGCAAAGAATGATATATTGTTGGATCATAAAAACAATATGTGAGAAAAATAATACTATAGTAGAGAACATTTTTTAATTTTTGTACAAAAACTGATACTTGTGAGCGACACGGGTCTATAGAGTGCTATCTGCATTCATCTTGTTATTTATATTTCTTATTATTAAATTACTATATTATTATAATATTTATATTTCTTATTAATATATATATATATATGTGTGTGTGTATATATAAAATATATATATTAATTAATATATATATATATATATATATATATATATATATATATATTATATATATATATATATATATATATATATATATATATTTAAACGTAACTATTTAATTGGGAATAAAGTCACTTAATTATTATTTTATAAACTATTGAATGTTCATTTCTTCTGTTTATTGACGTTTCGATCCTGGTATTTTATTTTTATTTCATTTATTTTTTTTTTTTTGTCAACCATGGGATCCTCTTCAAAGTTTTAAAAAATAGAGCTTCGATCAGGCCAGGGACACACCGACAGTCTCAGCACCATCCACTAGCACATATATCATACTCAAGTAGCTTAATATATGTGCTAGTGGATGGTGCTGAGACTGTAGATGGGTCCCTGGCCTTATCGAAGCTCTATTTTTTAAAACTTTGAAGAGGATCCCATGGTTGACTAAAAAAAGAAAATACCGGGATCGAAACGTCAATAAACAGAAGAAATGAACATTCAATAGTTTATAAAATAATAATTAAGTGACCTTATTCCCAATTAAATAGTTTTGTTTAAATTTAATACTCAAAGGTCGATTAAGGAAAAGTTGTAAAGATATATATATATATATATATATATATATATATATATATATATATATAAATAAGGAACAAACAAAAAAGAGGCAAAAAATATATTTATATTTCTTATTATACGATATTCTAATTTCATATGAACATAGGGATTATCAGTGCCTTATAACAATTATGTGTTCAGGTTATAAACATTTAATAATAAGAAATATAAATAACAACAACAACACTTTAAATAACATGATAACTGCAGATAGCAGTCCATAGAGCCCGCGTCGCTCACAATTACCCAAAAACTTTATTTTTAAGCCTCTTGCGGAATCTCGAGCTATAAATATTCATAGTTTTTTGGTTGACATAGAAAGGAAACTTTTGAATGCTATTAGAAAGTTGTCAGCGAAAAAAAGGATTGGTTCCACCCTATTGTACATGTTATGTCATCAATCTTAACTGTTTTAATGCACACTTGAAATAAATTAACTTAAAATTATCTTTTAGGGGATTGGAAGCGGACTTGGAAGGATACCACACATTATGGTCCAAGTTCCAAGACAGGGTGAGGAAAATACTTAGCGACAAGGCAGGGGACAAGGTGAAACCAGTTCTCTGGACAAGCACCCTCACCGAAGGCGATCGGCTCACCAAATTCCTCAACAGTTCCGACTACATTATTCAGATTTGGACGAAGATGGACGACCCAACTATCGCTCACTTAGTAAACAATAGTTTTCAAGTCATCTTCTCTAACTACGATGCTCTTTATTTCGACTGCGGGTGAGTCAACAAACCATGGTACAAACGTATGCCAGATGTGGATGAATCATTCACTAGTATTTAGTCCTGAAGGAACTTATATAACTAAATTATTTCCTCAGTGGATATTTCGGTCATTTGTTTTTCTGAAAGATTTAAGTAATAATATAGAAATAAGAAATAAAACTGGTTGATCAATCGTCCCTCTTAAAATTTTTGATGGCGCAATTTGCGATTTTCAAAAAAACTTTTTCTGGGCACCTCTAATAAGGGAGTACGTTTTGCTATCATTCCTGATATTTTTTTTTTTAAAATAGTACGAACGAAAATATAACTTAAAAATAGTAGACCATATACAATCATACTCTCTTTAATCAACATTCAAATCTTTTTAATAAGCCTGTGTTGAATATGATAAATCTCATATCTGAAATTTTCCTCAATTAATGAAATAAGGTTATAGTAAGTATATAGTTATTAAAAGTTAGTTTTACAGTTTTTTTTTATATCCATTTTATGAGTGAATATTATCACAAAATTGAAAGCGATCAAAAAAGAGTTACAAAAATATATGTAATAAACATATTTTAATTATATTATTATTGGAAGAGAGAAACACTTTATTTTCATAAAATATAAAATATAAAGGATTGCTGCCCAATTATATTGGGTTGCTATATACACAGCATACTCTTCTATCCTTAAGACAATAAATGAACTTATATATAAATATACAGAAGTATTAGTTAATATTAGTAAAATAGAAATATATATATATATATACATTTTTATTATTTTATTTATTTTTATAATTTTTTTTTTTCCTTTTTCCTTCTTCTCATTGTTCATGCTTTTTTTTTTTTTTTTTATTTAACATTAAGTTTCCCTTTCTCTCACTTCTCTCTCTTTATCGCTATTATTTTCAATTATTCACTAAATAAATAAATAAACAAATACATAAATTAAAACTCTCGGGCTAGCCATGCACGTGGTGGTGAATGATTCCCAGGGAGTCGAGGACTATATTTTCAGCCAACCTCGCTACGTCCTTAATGTCGACACCTAGTTCCTCGAGGAAGCTCCTTGTTCTTTTTGGGATAGTTCCGCGAGACCCAAACCAGAGGCCTCTCACGGTGAACTCTCTCTCTCCGAAGGTCTCACGGAATTTCTCTTTTAGGAAAGGGATGCATTTATCGTACGTGTTCTTCTTTTCCCTTTCCACTTCACCCGCCTGATCGAGGTCATTGCTCTCAAAGCGGACAGTTGGATCCAAGATCAGCGCTGTCCTTCCTGTCTTGGGAAATGCGACGATATCAGCGTATCTCGTAGAGCCACATAATCATTCATATAATCATTTTGTTTTGAGTTTTCGAAATGCACATTTTCAAACCAAGGGGCAATGGGAAAACATGGAACAGACAGAAACTGTTATTAAACTGATTATAACTTCTGTCTGTTTCAAGTTCTCTCATTGCTACCTGGTTTGAATATATATATATACATTTTAAATTTCAATAATAATATAATTATAATAGATTAAAAATATGTGTATTATGTATATTTTTGTAAGCCTTTTTTGATCGCTTTCAATTTTTATATTCACTCATGAAATGGATATAAAAAATAACTTTAAAGCATAATTAATATGCACATCTCAAATGTGTTTAATTTTTAATAGCTATATACTATAACCTTATTTCATTAATTGAGGAAAATTTGAGATATGAGATATTAGTTTGATTTCCACATTAATTATTATTTATATATGTAGGTGAAAAATATTCATTTGATTCAGTCATTTTAATCCTATCTTGCACTTCAGGTATCAAAAATATCAAGGTTACAATGTTGCATCGGAATGCTATTTGCCAATGGTTAAGGTTTGATCATAGGTGTAAACTGAGATTGCATCGGAAAGTATTTGAACCTTGAAATTGAGAAAATTAAGTTGACATTTGTATTATGTGTCACTTATTGTGGTATTTTAGACAAGTAATTGTTTTGGAAATCCATTTCCAATGCCTCCCAGTCGATATTTTTGCTTGCTAGTTTGGAATACTTCAAAAATTAAAATATAACTTTAAGCATTGTGTATAACTAAAAATGACGGAGTTGGTTGATCTTGAGAGGAAATGGGGATAGATGGCTCTTCTGCACACTTTCTTGACTTAAATTATTTTTTCTCTTGACCACCTATTTTTTTATGTTAAAAAATTACTAAAGAAACTAGGGTAGAAATCACGTGTTTAGACAGTTAATACTGTCCAGGTGGACTTACTAGATGGTATCTATAAAAATGGAGTTTTACTGTTGTTCACCTAACCCCTTCATATAATTATTACTTAAAGGTGTTCTGAAATTTAATTTGAATATTTACAAAGGATCAGTGATTATGATCTATCAAGGGGTTTTAGTTTTAGTCTTGAGAAGAAATGCTAAAAGCCATATGACTAGGAGTAGCATGTGCGGTCTAGCGGAAAATGAAAGGATGCTGGTTTTCTTCAATTGACTCGACACACCATTACTGGTCCATCGTCTCCTTAATAACTTCCGCCATCTGCAGGTCGTTGAGAAACCCTTCTTCACCCCCCCCCCCCTTCTTCAATATCCAAGATCCTACAGGTATCCTTCGTTTCTTAGTCTATCCACGAAATAGATTTCATCTGTATATGGTACTCATGATTTTCATGGATATCTCATCGCCGCCCTTATAAGCTAGTATACGTCTAGTCCACCTGAGTCTTCCCACTGTAATGTGCCTTACATAGTCTAGTTTACTGAGGAGATCATATAATTCCTGGTAACATCTTACGTGATATGCTTTTCCAGCTCCTTTAGGTTCATACACACAAGCAAAGTTCTTCTTTCCAAAATCTGCATACCTGTGATCTATCTACCGTGGAGTATTTAGAGCAATTCAAAATGGACCAAGGGTGGTTAACAGTTGGTAGTTATATAGGATTACTGTTAATAGTTATAGGGATATCTTCCACTTTTTGGGTTACATCGCACGATTTTTTTTTGGGGGTGCTCCCCTTCCTCGCCTGTAAGGCTATACGGGGTTTTCCCGGCACCGGGACGCGAACTCGTGACTACTTTAAATCCATTGTCTCATAGATGAGGTTGCCGGGCAACGGCGGTGCTGTACACACATGTTAGCCCGTCAGGTCACCCCGCCCACTACTTCGCACGATTTAAATTTGTTTGCACAAAATCATCGAATATGAAAAAATGAAAAATAATGTAATATTAATGTGTCAAAAATTTCCCCTGACGAAGAAAACTGATCCCCACTTACCCAAATTCATGATTTAACAACCATTTTACAATTTTTAAGATCTATGCAGTGCTTCATTCCCGTCCCCTCTCAAAGAAAAGTCTTCTTTTATTTTAAACTAGTTCAAACTTAGCGTCTAAAGTCAAAAGATATAAATTGAAATCCCTTTTTAAAAGATTCGTCTACTATAACTGGACGGGTAGAAAATGATCAACAGTTGAAACCTGATAATAGAATAGTATTTTGCACTGTCTGCGAAAAAACCTTTCTAAGCGATAGAAAATATCAAATTGTTGTTTATTGTGGTTAATGCAGGAGTACCCATACACCCAATTACATAAACAATTCATCGATAAAAAAAATAAATAAAGCTCATACAGTAATTAATTTCAGAATTAAATTATGCTATATGCTATTGCATGCCTTAATAATAAATTATATATAGTCAAACTTTATTCATTATTTATTTAGCAAAGATACAAACCAAATTATTCCAGAGGAAAATATTTTCCTGAAAAAAATAGTTACCTGTTTTACAAATTTTATTGGTAAAATAAAAAACGAGAATATTTGATTGTTACTAAAGTTTTTAGATGGTTATATATCTGTTTTTTTTATGTATTGAGGTTCTTCGTCCAAGAATACGTATCCATAAATTTTTGGAAATATCCATTCGATTGTTTTAGACCTTGCATTGGTAAAAGATCATTTCTGATTCTCATTTCTGTTGTTATTAAAAAAACATTGTTTAATTCATCAAATTTATAACTGTATACAAATAAATATACATCAATTAAATGAGATATAGAGAAATAAAATGGTATGAAAGTCTTGTAGAAAATCTACCCATTGGTAGCATACTAATAAATCATCTAAATTAGGAGATCACGATGCCATCTTCCAATTTATTGCATATTTTAACTTTTTTATTTCACGTTATCAGATTTTTACTGCACGAAAGTCACATGAAGAAACATAAAATATATATATTTTTTATTTATCCGTTGAACCATACTTATATTTCTTTGAAATTGCATATTGTTTGACAAGTTTACTTAAATTTTAAATTATCTATTCGATTGATTATCAATTATCAAATTCGATTGATAAAACATTTTTCTATTTATCTATAACTATATGATTGCTTCAAATAGTGATTTATTTATTTATAAGATTTATCTTACTTTAGTTTTGGAGCTTGGGTAGGGGACGGAAACAATTGGTGTTCTCCGTACATTCCTTGGCAGAAGGTCTATGAGAACGATCCTAGGACGATCTTGTCGAAGTTGGGAATTGCACCAGAGCTTCAACATTTGGCAATCGGCGCTGAAGCAGCTTTATGGACTGAGCAAGCCGACGATTCTTCCATTGATAACAGGTAAGAGTAATGTGTTATTGCCACATGATACTAATATTTAATCCCAGAATAGAGATGGATCGCCTTCAATTGTTTTTTCTATATAGAAACTTTGTTGCAATAAAAAATAATAACCAATCAATAATGGTTATGATACTTACGGAATATAATGTTATAATATAAAAGTGGTGTATTAACATAAATAATTAATATTCCAATAACTAATAAATTCATCATATTGTTTGAGCTTTTGAAGAAACGATTGCTTAGAGATGATTGAGTTGAAAACTTATGTTGCAAACCGCTTTCGACATTTGGCTGGAGATTTTTGTTGTTTCTTTGTTGTGCACGTTATTAAAGCCATCGCGGGCAAACGTCGCATTAAACATGTACAGTATGCGCGTTACAACATGAGGATTGCCATGTATCCATCTAAAAAGTTCCATGGCATGAAAACAATTCTTTCCAACAAATCTATTCTCGGTGAGCTAATCGTTTGATCTTCTGTTAGATCAATGATATTTTCTACTTGTTTTTAAGCCTAGGCTCGTCCGGATGTTATAGCATAGACAAGTGTCACGCTCTTGCACAATTTGTTGAAAACTGCGTTAAATACCTTTACATCCTCAGTAAGAGCTGCAGCACACCCTTTAAAAAAATTATTGCAAACGACATATTTGTATATTCTCTCAATGAATATTTATGCCAAATATATTGGCATTTCCTAAGACTTTAATAACACAAAAGAAAATAATACTATGATGATCACTGGCACAATAAGTTCGTGTTCTAATCGAGTTATAAAATAAAAGGTTTACAACCTGTTGCAAACAAAATCATAATGTTAGAGCCGAAATGTTAATACTGATATGAAATATTGTTTATTGTGAAAAAAAAAATTGTATATATATATATATATATATATATATACACAGGGTGTCCCGTAAGTAGAGGGGAATATTTAAAAAGTTGATTAGATAGAGCAGAATATTTTGATTTTTGATTACACACATTGTGATTATTACAATATATTATTAATAAATTAATTTTCAAAACCCAACTATTCTTCTCTTCATTATCCACGACAGTCAACCATTTACCAACTATAAACAATTGCTCAATTTCCAGCAGCAAAGTAGGAGATTTAAGATTTTTTTTTTAAGCGAGTCACGTTTTTTATGAATAGGAAGCGATAACTTAAAAAATATTTAATTTAAGTAATTAAACATTGCTCCATAGTAAACTACAGAAAATGTACTTTAAACTAAGTACATATTAGTAAGTTGAGGTTTACTAAGAAACATTTTGAGATTCACCTCAAGTTGTGTAAAGAAATGAAGTGATTCCCTGCCCAGTCCCCTTAAAGTACTCTTGTTTTCAGTAAACTTTACTACAATTAACAGTTGCAAAGCTTTTATTTCTCGTTTTTCCGTGATATTGGGTGTATTTTAATAAACATAATATCCAGAAAACACATTTTATTAATAAAAATAAAACATTTAAAAATAATAATTTTTAAAATATTTTTCTAGAGTGCTACCATTGGGTAGTTATTCAGCAAGTGTTTTCAAGTCGTTATATCCATATGTTCCAATTTACTAAACGTATTTCTTTAATACAGTTGTAAATATCATTAAGAAATAATAAAAAAAAAATATTTTTCATGTGAGGTGGTTATTACCATGGTCATAAGAGATGCGTATATATATGTGACAAAATTAATTCTTACTAAAATTTACGTTTAAAATAAAGAAACCTACTGATTGTTTCAATTATTTTCATGAAAACTTATAGATTAGGGCTAGAAACATTAAATATGTCACTTGTAAATACGCATTATTTCCTGTGACAGAAATTTGGCAAAAAAACACAATTTCATAACCACCTTACATGAAAAATATTTAAAAAATCTCTTATAAATCAAATGTGTTTTAGGCAATTATGTTGATTACAATACATCCCATATTACGCTGGAAAAAAAAAAAGAAATTATAGCTTTGTAGTACAGTTAATTGTAGTAATGTCTCCAGAAACTCAGAATACTCTAAGATGATTGTATAGAAAATCACATCATTTCATTACACAAATTTAGATGAATCTCAATTTTTTTCCTTATAAATCTCAACTTCATTAATATGGATTTAAAGCTTATCAAACCTGTAAAGTTTTATATTAGTGGGGTAAATGTAGTACAATTAAAGAATGATGAAAAAAATCACAAATAATTTATGACTTTTATTTAAACTGAATTTAACTGTGTCCGCCCAATAGTCCTCTTTTAACAAACTCTAATTGAGTGCCAAACTCTAAATCTGTTTGAAGTAAATTTTATCTAGTTTACTAAGGACCAATGTTTAATTAGTTTAATCAAATATTGGTTACGTTATCGCCTCCTATTCTTCAAAAAACACGACCCCGTTAAAAAAACTGAAATCTTAAATTTCCTACTTCTCTGCTGGAAATTGGGCAATTGTTTATATATATTTTTTTGTAGATCTTGATGGGAAATATTTTTCTCTACTTCAGGGACTTGAATCTGTGATTCCATGTATGTTTCCTTATCTTGTCATCAAATACTTAAGTTTGGTGATTTTTTTTTTTTTCAATAAAATGATAAGTACAGAATGATAATTACAATACAAAAATAATGGCAAATTCCCTTGAATTGTAAATATACATACATCGATGGTGTCTAAATAAGTATTATTCGTTTAACAACTTTGATTAAAAATATACAAATACCTACCATTTTTTGTTGGTTGATCCAAAAGAAAAAAAAACTGTTAATAGAAATGTTCTAACATTTTCAAATTGTACAAGTTGATATTGATACGAAAAACAAACAGAATTCTTTTTTTAGGAATTATGTTATCTGATTTAATGCTGGATTTATAGAATCTAATGCCTTCAGCTTACGTAAATAAAAGTTACAAAAACAAATTATTTTGACTTTTAATGAGATTTTTTAGCAATAATTCATTCTGTAACATTCCCTAATTAGGAGGATTTTGGTTTAGCGTCCCACGGGAAGCAACCGTATTGGGAGCTAGGGGCCCGGATTTGATACTCTTACTTCGCTACTAATCCCATGTTATAGTTATTTGCCTACAATTATAATTAATCAAGTATAATTAATAACAATAAAATGATTTACCTAGAAATCTATCACTATTTATTTTCAGTCATTTAAATGTATTTCTAAATAATCTTCGTGTTAAACATAATTTTTTACTTCGGCATTGAAAAACACTTCAGATAGTTAGTTGTTAAAGACTTTCCGTCTTGCTCCTCTCTTCCAATTTTTTCTTGTTCCTCCACTCTTAAACTTTATTCTTGTTCCTCCACTCTTAAACTTTATTCTTGTTCTCTAACTTTTCCACAGTTCGACCTTCAGTAACTGGCAAAACTATACTAATGGAATAGATAAAATATTTGTTATCTGTAATAGATTTTGGCCTCGAGCTTCTGCGATGGGAGAAGCACTCTGGTCTGGCCCAGGGTCATGGAAAGGAGCTGAACACAGACTTCTCTTCCACAGGGAGAGACTCGTCGAACGAGGAGTACAAGCTGACACAATGCAACCTCAATGGTGTCTCCAGAATCAAGGAAGCTGCTATCTATAAGATTCATTTTTTTTTCTCAATTATTCATCAAATTAAATATTGTTCTTGTTGATTGAAATTAGGGTATACAATTTTTTGTGCAGGTACCTGAAGCGGAAAGTTCAAGTGAAACATAACCTATTTTTTTAAATTGGGCCATTAAAAACGTAAAAAAGTGATTTATATAAAAAAAAAGTTTAAATGCTGTAAGATTACAGAAATAAATTGAAAACAAAGCAATACTTCATAAAATTGTCACTAGTTGAAGTACCCTAAAACTATTTCTATTTATTTTTATTATATAAACTGTTTTAGTATATATCAACCTAAAATATTTAATTGAAAACTTTTGTTTTTAATCTAAAAATTAAAATCAGTAATATATATATATTCATAAAATTGCATTAAGAGCTATCGCTGTTGGATCTCTGTGTTCTAAATCGTATTTTCGAAATCCTTTTGAGAAGATTTTTAGCGATAACTTTTTTATCACAGGAAATCATTTTCGTTTGGACATCTAAGTGCCATTCCGGCATTATGTCCTTTACTGATAACTGAAACAGAATAAATGATTTCGCAACATGCCCTACACGTAATCATATGGGAAAAAAAAGACCAATAATTTAAATATCAAACACTTAATTTTATAAAATGTTAAACTCATAGAAAACTTATTTCAAAATTTTCAATTGATTGTCCTTTTATTAATTTGTATTTTTTGAATACGTTAAATGCAAACCTCTAAGAAATTTCCAATGTTCTCAAATTGTTTCATCCGTTAAATTCTGAGCCACACCAACGGAAAACCTATCCATATATTATATACGATTTATTAATTTAAAAATTATTATCAGGCTGTGAAAATTAAACTAGAGCTTTCAAATAAAATACGTCCTTTTTATAACAGAAATTATTTTTTTAAAAATTAATCAGTACTTTTATTCATCAATTAATACCTTTGATTGTAAATGTGGTGAGGGATCCGCAATTAAATACAAGCTATGTTTTATTTTAGCTTAAAATAAAACATATTTATGTTTTGCTTTACTTATATTAAATATGCTCACCCAGTATATAATGATTTATCTCTGATGAAATAATTATAATAGTGCTAATTATAAAGAAAAAATATTATAGAAATTGTTTGGTAAATATATAGATAATAATTTCCCAAGAAGTAGAAATTTTATCATATTTATGTAAATATAACGTAAACAAATTATTAATTATAAATATTTTTATACTACTGTCAACCTTAAAAGACATAAAAATATAAGTTGTTAAAATAAAGAAAGTATATTAGTCTATAATTAAGTATTTTGCATATAAACTAACACTGTTTACAATATATATATATATATATATATATGTGCTACTATTTTTGAAATATTTATTCATGCCAAACTAATTACTAGTTTAGATATATTGGGGTTTAACAATTTAATATATTTTATGATATTATTTATAAACTTTATTTATTTTCTGTTTAGTTAATTATTGCAGTTACTATCACATAACCTTTATGTATATATCCTAGACTGCTATTGACTGAATGAGAATAAATTTGAAAAATGTAAATTTTATGAACAATAAATTATTTCCTCCTCGATTGTATTTTATTTTATTGTTTTTAAATCCGTTGATGAAATTCCGGCTTTTCATTTAAACCTCTATATAATTTGATAGGATACTGGAAAATAATTTATGAAATATGTGAACATTGACTGTTTTAAATATTTTTGTTACACTTAATTGACATAGGATATCCATCTAGTCATTCACTTTAGGTATATTTTCATGAAGTAAGACAAGTAAGTACACAGTTTGAGGGGGACGATATATATACAATACAATAGTATCTTATTTGTGACCTCTGGCCTAAAAACTATTATATATTCATGTAATTTTATATTTTATTTATTTATTTTAAATTATTTTGTAAGGAATGTAGATTTGAAAGGAGCTAACAGTAGATTTAGTCTTAAACAATCAATTGAGGAAAAAGTATTTTATTCAATAAACATATTTGTAAAGATCGATTTGTTTATAATTGACCAACAAACAAATAAGTAGTCTTCGTAGAAGTTAATTTAAAACACAACAATTCGGCAGTTAGCTTTTGTATAATAACCATTCCTCAAACAATTGTTCATTCAACAATGTCATTTTGGGAGCATCCTACACATTAGAGAACTGCTTACAATTTTTATTGCCTAAGACAATTGTATTAAAAATTTAGCACCTTCGACTTTACAAAAAAATTCAAGCATTATTTTTATGGGCGAGTTCTTGTATGAACGATTGATAATGTCTTTTATGTATTTAAAATACAAATGTATTCATTTGAAATATTAAACGTATTTTGTATTTTAGAAATAAAATAAAAATACATTTCATTGTATTTTGTATTTTCAAAAGAAAATACGGTTGCAATTAAAAATGCATTTTATAGTTTACTCCTTAAAATATTACAATGTATTTGTATTGAAATAAAAACAAAATATATTTTGTTTTCTATTTTAAAACACTTTATTTGAAATACTGCCCAAGTCTGCCCAGAAGTAAAATGGATATATTTAATGGATGCTAATCCATTAGATGTTTCATGAGTTTTGCAGCAACATCAAAACATTTGTCTACTTTATTAACCATTTGTTGCATTGTTGATGGGTCATGGACAAGTAATACTATGCCATCTGCTAACATAAGACAATTTATCGATTCTCCCTCCAATGTCAAAACCCTTCCTATACACTTTAGGAAATCATTAATAAATAAACTGAATAACATTGGTGAAAGGAGACATCCGTGTCTTAGACCAGATTTACTCTCAAATGATAGGGTCAAGCCATCTTTTGTCCAAATCGTGGCTTATTTGTTTTTACATAACCCTTTCAATATTCGGATAATTTTATTTGAAAAGCCAATTTCATTTAATTTATAAAATATTTCATTTCTATCTGGGGAGTCAAATGCGAAACTAAAATCAACAAAAAAAGTACATCTTGCTTCTCTTCTTCACAGCTAGCTTTACTTTTTATCATATTTATCAGGTTAAAAATATTTTCTATTGTACTATACTCATTTCTGAAACTTTCTTGATTCTGGCACAATATATTATTAGTATTTGACCATGTTGTTATTGTTTGAAGTAACATAGGAGTGAATAATTTTGATACTGTATTAAAAAAATGAAATTTCTCTATAATTTTGTGCAATATTGATATCATTTTTCTTAAACAATGGGGAAATTATAGATTTTTGGAAGCTTTCTGGTATATCTCCAAATTCATATATATTATTATATAATGGTATTATTTCTTCAAGGTAGTTATCTAAACTATATTTATAAAATTTCAATGGAATTCTGTCAATACTAGTTGCTTTGCCATATTTCGCTTTTTGAAGTTTTTAACTATTACAATTCAAGTGGTTTATCTAAATATTATTTAGTATTTGTATTAAGAACATAATTAATTTCGAATGGTTTCCTTTAAGGATTAAGAAGTCTTACAAAGTGATTAATCCATTGTTATGGTGTTATGTTGTTCACGCTTACAAATTTAGAAAATTTCAGAGTATTTGCAAGGTCTCGAAAATGTCGAGCCCCTAAACTGACAAATGGAATTGCAAACACTATATAGTAATTTGCCTTCTTTGTTATACCACGTTTCTTGGAAACATATTGGAATTTCCAAATATATTTAATTGTTTAAAATAACTGTTTCTAAGTTTCCTACAATCTAGATCAAACCATTAATTTTTTTGAAATTTGATAATGTCGATTTAAATTGTTGTTTTTTTCTTAGAAAAGCACAAGATTTTTTCATTTTAACTAAATTGTTTATTATATTTGTTTGAGGTGTTTGACCCTGAGACGAAAAATTTTGTTGCAATTTATTTTTAAAGAAACGTGCATCCCGTTTCGTCCATAGGATTTTCGCAATATCGGTAATAAATGTTGGTTGAACTGTTGCGTGTATAGGTCTAGATACAGTACTATCGGCATTTTCACATATAATAAAGTATAGTGGACAGTGCGCTCAAAATATGTTTAATTAACGTTTTTGTAATAAGATTATATCGTAAATTCCTGGACAATTTTGAAGTAGAGCTGTTAAAAGATCACGACGCATAATGATATTGAATAAGAAAACTTTTTTTTCTAAACAAAACAGAGACATTAATCATGTTTTTTAATTAGAAACCCTAAATCACAATGAAACAATAAATTACTGGTTTATTACAACTTCCGAAACCGTCTACTATGTGAGTTAATTGATTTAGAACGTTTAAATAAAGACAAGTGCAGCAAGAAAAATATAAAACATGAATTTCGGGTAGGGGAATCACAGTAAAATTAAAAGTAAAAAACTATAAAAGTCTTTGATATAATAAGTATTTAAACTCATAGCATGATGTATTTCCAAAAACTTGCAGTATTGAAAAATATATTTTTAATTTTTGATGCCATACCAGACTGAAACGAAAAGAAACAGCTCGACTTTTCCGATTACTTCAGAACTTACTAGATAAACTTTCTAAACTTCCAATTAATTACAAAAGACTCATATAAATGGTTATAATAAGGCCTATTTGGACTTACGGAGTTGAGCTATGGGGCTCCACTAAACCATCGGATTCCTCTTGTATCCAATCCTTACAATCCAAAATCCTTCGTAAAATCCTCAATGCTTCCTACTTTGTTACAAATAAAACCATCGATAATGACCTTAATGTTTCTTATGTTTCTGACTTAACCCAATCCAGATACCTATCCTTCCATAACAAACTTCAGAACCATCCAAACCCTCTCGTTTCTAACCTTGCTTCCTCTTCGATCCCTGACAACCCTCTGAGGCGTCTGAAAAGAAGATGGCCTCGAGATCTCCTTTTGTAAATACATTTTTAGAGTGCTACCAATGGGTAGTTTCTCAACATGTGATTTCATGCTATTTTATTCCTTTGTTCACATTTACTGAATGTATTTATACATGTAATACAGTTGTAAATATCACCAAAAAAAAAAAAAAAAAAAAAAAAAACATATCCATTTTATGAGTGAATATTATCACAAAATTGAAAGCGATCAAAAAAGAGTTACAAAAATATATGTAATAAACATATTTTAATTATATTATTATTGGAATATATATAACATTCATATAATCATTTTGTTTTGAGTTTAATCTAGATACCTATCCATCCATAATAAACTTCATCCCAACCCTCTTGTTTCTAACCTTGCTTCCTCTTCAATTCCTGATAACCCTCCGAGGCGTCTGAAAAGAAGATGACCCCGTGATCTC